GGCGTCCTGTGTTTAGGGGGCGTCGTGGGGCGCGAGCTTCAGCCCTGCCTCGGCTGCTGCGCCCGCGGGGCCCGGTCCCCGTAGGGGCTCCCGCTTTTTCCCTTTTTGGAAGCCCAAAGGGTTTGTCTAGTAAGAAAATCCCATGGCCTCGCCCACGGTGCTCCGTGCGCCGCGGCCGCCCTGCGTTTTCCGTTCGCTGTAACCTTGTGTTCAGGCGCAGCCGCCCAGCGCCGGGGCGGGCGGCGACCGGTGACGGGGAGCAGGTATGTCCGCGTCCTGGGTGCGGACGGACGGGAGGAGGGAATAGTCCCAAACTTTCTCCACATTTTCAGAACAACTTTGTTCGTGCTTGTTATTGGAGAGGAAGATTTGTTGATCCTGAGCCGCCTTTGAGAAGTAAAGGTAGTTCAAAATACTTAAAGGGCAAAAGTGTGGAATATATTTAATGTTTTTCTTAAAAAAACAAAAAAAAACTAGAGATTCATCACTTTTATGGCCTTACAAAGTATCTTCACTTAAGCATGCTTTCTTTTGTTACATATAATAAAAGGAAAGGGAAATTGCCCTAAGACTACTTTTACTTCCTTTGTGAAGTGCTGTAAAATTTCTCTTTCTATGTCTATTCAGCTTACCTTTGTTGACCTTAAAAGTTATTTTACCAGCAAAAATGGGTTTATTTGGGAACAGCAAAGAATTGCAATTTGGAACAAGCAAGCTCTAAAGCAAAACAAAGTCCAACAAACAGGAAAGTTGTTTTACCGAGAAAAAGGAAGTTGAGGGGTAGTTCTGAACACAAGTTCATTGGAAAAAATTGAGAGTTAAGGGTGATGATAGTTTCTCATTGGCTGAGTTGCTGGGGTGGTCAGTTTCTCGTAGAAGACCCAATGTGCATCTTTTATCTTGGAGCTTATTACCATTGACAGTCCTCAATTTCCTGTTGAGGAATTTTCTCTTAGGGTCTGTAATTGATAATCAATCCATCCTATAATTTGACTTTTAGTACTGCATGTGAGCACCGCTCTGGCCTGACACCATTTCGAATGAGGTTCCCTTTGATTTTCACACCTTCCAATAGCCATGCTTTCTTAGAAAACTCAAGTTAGGATCATGCAGATTTCCAAAACATAAACCCAAAGGACAGCTTACACTGAAAAGATTAGCTTCAGAGGACTTTTGTGTGTGTATGTGCTAGTGTGTTTTTAATGTGTCAGTCTCTCCAACCTCTTACTGCTTTTGAAGTAGGATTTTATTTACGTAACCTTTTGCAGACACATTGACTTATAAAGTCCACCTATGTCAGCCACTTTTATGTTCTATGTAATCGTATTAAATTATATTACGAAAGCATTTGTTAAAGTCCACCATGGACACTGCTTTAAATAGTCTTGGGAATGTAAAGAAGCATAGAATATATACCTTATAGGTTATACCTCATAAGTTATAGGTTATATGCCTTATAGGTTATACCTCACAAAAATGACCTGTGGATTAGGTCAAATTGTTTAGTGGATTGGAGTGGATTGTATGAGTTCTTTTCACTAAAAACATTCTCCAAGGGGAAGGGAAAAGATTGTGTTGTACTAGAAGGAGTATATCACCTCTGCATGTCCCCAGCTTACTGAGGTGTGGTTATTTTAGAGCAAACAGACAGCATGTCAAGAAAGGGAATTTTATTTCCTGTTAAATTGAGGAACACTGTCCAAGTAAGTACTTGTGTGTTGTGTGTGTTTAAGAGTATTGTATGACATCTCAAACAAAGGGAAGTTTTATTATGTGACAGTTTTGTAGCCTGTCAAGTAGTGCCAGTTGAAATAGCTTGGTACCCTCTGTCACTTTCCATTTTATAACATCATTAAGATTCTTGGAGAGATTTGGTTTTGGGGGGAGGGTAGAAAGTAAATATGCATGCTTTTTCCCTATATAAAATTAAAGAAATTTTAATGAGTAAATAGGTATTTTCTGTTTCAGGTGTGGTAAAATGAGCTCTTGGGTTAGACTGAGAAAAATGACATTTCTTACACTTACAGTATACTTTTACATGGGAAAAATAAATAGGAGTTATGGCAGTATTTTTTCATGTTTGTGTTCACTAATACTGTTAAACCTTTTTTAGTGTCACCCAAACCAAACCTACAAGTGAAAATTTCCTGAAGTAGCTGTAATTTCCACTATTACTTTGGAGCTTTTATCAAACCAAATGGAAACTATTTACTAAAACAGCTATTTAGGATAGATGATCTCATTTCATCCTCAGAACCCCGTGAGCCACATCTGTGACCCCTGTTTCACTAATGAGGAAAATGAGACTTGGCAGAATTTTAAAATTACTTGGCCCAAGGCTGCATTGGTTAGGAAGTGGCAGAACTAGGATCTGTCCTGAGCTTTACTCTTAACCACTGTGCTGTATTGATCTAGTTTTAGTAGAATGAATGAAAATCGTTTGTGTTAGAAAACACATGTTCACATTTGGACTTACTAGTTGAAGATTAAACTTGCTTTCTATGAATGTTTTATAAACCTTGATTTCTGTGGATTAAATATGTCCAATAAAAAGTAAAAATCTTTGCCCAGCGGGGCATGGCTCAGTGGTTGAACGTTGACCTAGGATCCAGGAGATCTCGGTTGATTACCAGTCAGGGCACAGGCCCGGGTTGTGGGCTCCATCCCCAGTTGGGGGTGGGCAGGGGGCAGCTGATCAATGACTCTCTCATCATTGGTGTTTCTATCTCTCTCTCCCTCCCTTCCTCTCTCTGAAATCAATAAAGATTTTTTTTTTTTTTTTTTTAAAGTAAAAACCAGAGCAAATCTCTAGAACATTGGTGCTTCTCATCCTTCTCATTTAGAAGCCTTACTCTCCGTGCACACAACGTTCATAATGTGTTACGCTTAGAAAGAATTCCTAAAACCAAAATTGTGGAGGTGAGGTGGTTATGTGGATGTTAGTGCGTATGTGGGCCTTTGCAGGTACGTACAGGTTGAGGAGTAAAGAAAAACTAGGAGGAAAAAAGATTTTATAGTTTTATAGTTTGTACAGCTGGCTTTTATGTAAATGAGTTCAATAGATCTACCTACTTAAGTGCTGATCCAGGTAGTGGCCACTTAATAGCGAGTGGCTGTTACTGATTTTGAAAATGGGTCAGAATTGTCTAAAATTCAACACTGATTTCTTTGTAAAACATTTAGAAGAAAAAGTGAATTGAAAGCTCTTGTGCCAGTGATAGAAAGTTAAATCTGGGCCCGCACTGCAATTCAAAGGTAAAGGTTCATTGAAACAACAGCTGGCCAATGTGTGGTTTTATGAAATGTTAAGCAGTACTTAACCACCCATGTCTTTTCCTCTCCCTTTGACGTTGCTATGGTATTGAGCCACTTTTATGTGAGAGCCTATAGTTTACTTTAGGCCTGCTGGCTGGAGAAAGGGTTAATATGGTTTTTTAGGGAGCACCTAAAGTAAATATAGTTCATTCATTTCTTTTAAAGTAACTGCTGAGTGGATGGTATCTTTTAGTATATATTCAGGAGCTAAATGCATGTAAACCCCTTAATTTGCTGGCAATCAGTAATCAGTTCTTGTGTAGAAAAGGAAATGATGGAAGGATTCAGTCCCTGCCAAATCGCCATGAACAGCATTTTCTGGAAATTTTATTTGCATTTAATGAGTCAGAAGGCCCTTCTTGAAGTCTCAGCTTGAGGTCCGAGGAGAGATGGAGAGAGCTGAATTTCATCTTTATCCTTTGGCTCAGTGTAGTTTAGAGCCTTTCTTTGTGGTATGGCTTACTGCATTGTAAGGCAGGGCCCTTTGACTCCTGAATTCCCACATAAACTTTGCATTTCTTTGGGCTAAGCAACACTTCTGGGAGAAGTAATAGGAAGATGCTGTCTTAATAACACCTTACTTTAATATACGTAATGTGACTTTTTTTTTTTTTAGCTATTTGAAAAGAGATTTTGAAGTGTTGGAAGGGTTTAGAAAGGATGGCAGTGGAAAGAAAAAGTGCAGAGAAATGGGCAGTTTATGTCGACGACTTCCTGGGTACCCGGAAGTTTTATGTTAACAAGGGTACCTAAGGTAATAAGGTGTGTGCTGTGAGGGAAGGAAACTGCAGAAAGGAGAGGTGGTAAGGAGCGTACTGTAGACAGCATTCCCCAGACATTTCACAAGTTGTCATTAAGCATAGCATTTAAGTATTTTGTGCAGGAGAATTTTTGGGGTCACCAGTGCTGCCACAGTGTGTGGTTCTTTGCTATTTTAACAGAAACTTGAATCACCAAATTTTAGTGGGTAGTTAATAACAGACTAATCATTGAGCAGTTAGCTGTTTCAAGTACTGTAATATTTGCATTTCTTTGTAGTGATTCCACAGTGTTTTTATTTCATTTTAATTTGCTGCTCTTTTCTATAGGTCATCATCTCAATATATTTATCAAGTCCTTAGTTGTGTTAAGGCTCTGGAAAGGTGCTTCACCAAGAAATAACTGACTGCAACCCTATCCTATAGGAGCTTATGTAATGGAGATGCTGTCCTGTGCTCTTATGAGAAGCAGTAAGGGGGGAAAGTATGTGTGTACCTAATCTGTCTGAAGGAAAGAAACAAATACTGAATTTAATGTAAATGGCCTATTTGTGTTTTGGAAGATGAGACATTCTTAGTACACAGTCTTTTATCTGGGCAGTGAAAAAATGTAGCCCAAGCCAAACCCCTTTACTTTGTATATTACAGACTCTGGGGAAGGGTGTTAAGAGATTACATTTTATTGTATGGGTGTCATTGCTGTCTAAGAATAACTCCTCTTCTTCCCTGCTTCCAGTGCTGTAAATAAACAACTTCCCAACCAGCTCCACCAAATTTAATGATACTGAGATGTTTAAAATCTAGGATTAGTAGTTTAATAATGTAATGAGCTGCTGAAAAGCTATCTCAAAGAGGCGAGGCTTATGTAGTGACTTTTAAGAGATTAAATGAATTAATTATCAGGACTAAAAGAATCCCAGTACCATATCAATATAGCCATGAGATTCAGTGGAATTCCTTTGGATGCCAAAACTTGAGGATTATAAGCTTGATATGATTTGAGTTTTGAAAAGATCACTTTGCCTGCTGGATGGAGAATGGATTAAAGGAGTGGGGCTATAGCAGGGGTAGGCAAATTGGCCCACAAGCCAAATATGTACACTACCTGTTTTTGTAAGGCCTGCAAGCTAAGAATGGTTTTTGCATGTCAAATGGTTGGGAATAAAAGAATGATATTTTATAATGTGAAAATTACATGAAATTCGAACTTTAGTGCCCACAGATAGTTTTATTGGACCACATTGGAGCTCATTTACGTACCGTTTTTCTTCTGCAAAGGGCAGAGTTGTGTATATGTGACTGAAATAGTGTTTCCTGCAAAGCTAAAATATTTACTCCATGGCCCTGTACATGAAATGTTTTTTGATCCCTGTGCTAGGTTATAGGCAGCTTTGTCAGGAAGAAGGCTGTTGCAGAGTCCAGGAGATAGATGGTGGTGGCCTGGACTGCAGGCAGCAGTATTCATGAATAGAAGTGGGTGCATATGGAGATAATTTTGGACAGGGGCTGAGAAGACTTTCTGTTGAATTGGTATACTCGTGGAATTGATTGAAAAATATTTTTTTCCTTCACTGAAAAAACTAGCCAAAAAAGTAAACAGATTATGTTGCATTTCCTTCTATATATTATATTTTAAAAGACAAAAGATGTAACTCTTAAAAGCAACTTCAGTATAAAATGGAAAACATATATTTGCCTGACATAAGGCATTTTGAATTGTAACCCTTGCTCTACAGCTAGCTTCTGGCTATGTATTTTTACATTTCCTAACCCTTTTATTACACACTCATCCTAAATATTGACTGTTCTGTAATTCTTGAACACAGTACATTGTTTTAAATGGCTTGCAAATATAAATGGTGCTGGAACACTTAGAAAACACTCTAGGTTTCCCGCAGGTCTTGTGACTTTTTCATTTGCATGAATGTGTCATCTGTGGCAGGGCTGAACTTTTTATTATTTTTAGGGATGAAAGGTTTTAGGTTTTGATTTTTATGTATTTTTCCCTTGTATAGCCCCTGACTGTAATGGAAGTCGTTTTTGAAAAGCTGGAATATCTGACATTTACAATATAATCACTTTTTAAACAGCAGCCTAAACTTTTAAAATGTGTAGCAGTTGTTTTTTGCTATACCCAAAATTTATAAAATTTTATAAGGATTATACAGTTCTTTATACTTTTCTGTCTCTAGCAATATGGCTGACTAGATAATCTGAAAACCCTCTGCTTTTAATCACCTAGAAATGCCAGCTAAAATATAACAAACATCCATTTAAATGAACTGAGCTTTCAAGACAGTAACGGGAACACTTAGGATTCAAAAATGGAAAAAAGGACCGAAAATGGGAAGAGTGTGTAAGCTGACATTCTGGCTGCTCCATGGGTGGGGGTGAGAATTATTGGTCGTTACCTTGTAGGGATTTGAATTTTAATGCTCATACGAGAACAGGTTACAAGGCCTTGAGCGTCTAGCACAAAGTGGGGGAACTGGAACAACATCCAAGCATAAAATCAGGATCTGTAAAGGACAATACCTTTAGAAAGGGGTTAGATGAGGGAAAAACCCATCCCCCAGCACAGGGAGACTACAAAGAAGCTTGTAAATAAGACTCCCTAAGAATTTGTAAGTATGGTCCTGCCTCATGTTGGCTTGGAGTTTGCATTAATACTACCTACTTGATCTGGGAAAACCTAAACTGAGAAATTAATATGTAAAAGATTCGTAGGGTAGCAAAACCTCCCAAGTTACCTGGAAGAAACAAATGTGAAACATCTGAGGTGGGACAAGCTTTCAAACTAGGCTGCCAGGGTTCCCACAGCTAAGCTGCATCAAGATGAGTTCGCAATACCCAATTTAAAAATTAAGAAGACAGCCATCCATTATCACAAATCAGTGGACACTACAAAGGATTAAATCCCTAAGACCCTCAGCTAATTGTCATACAAAGACCATAAAATAAGTACGCTTAAAACGATTAGAAGCTTAAAATAAGGAAATGAAAGCAAAGTAAATCAAAAGATTTGGAAAGAAATCCAATAAAATGTATAGAAATTAAAGGTCATTTAAAAAAATCAATGAATGGGTTAATCAGCAGAAGTAGTTGCAGGAGGACTAAGTAGCCAGAAGAGAGATCTGAAGAAACTGTCTACAGTGCAGGAGAGAGAGAAAGAAATCTTTAGAGACAGAAGTTGGATGAGATGATCCAACATGCCTAATAGATGTTTAAATAGAAGAAGAAAAATAATACGGGCATAAAGCAATAATTGAAGAGATAATGTCTGAAAATATTACAGAATTAATGAAGAGCAAAAGTTCTTAGATTCAGAAACCCTAATGAGTCCTAAACAGGATAAATTAAAAATTAACTCTCACTTAGACATGAAACCTATTAAGATGTGGCAGTTTTCTACTAAGATACTGAAATAAGGTTTTAAATGTTCCAGTAATAGTGATAAATGTTCACTATCAGTTCAGCTTGTGACTAAGAGTTTCACTTTCTGTGGTGGTCGATACATTTTTGCAGTGTCTATTAGTAGTGCTATGAGGAAAATATTCCCTTTTGTGGTTAGTTTTCTTGAGGGAGCTAAGGAAATGTGGCATCAAGAAAATTACTATTCAACTTCTTCCAAAATACATGGATGACTTTAAAGTCATTGATTAAAAATAATAGCAAATTGCCCTGGCTGCATGGCTCAGTTGGTTAGAGTGTCGTCCAATTCACCAAAAGGTTGTGGGCTCAGTTCCTGGTCAGGGCACATACCTAGGTTGCGGGTTTGATCTCCCATTAGGAATGTACCGGAGGCAAGCAGTGGATATTTCCTTCCCTCCCTGTCTCTCTCTCTCTCTCTCTCTCTCTCTCAGTGAAAGCATATCCTCAGATGAGGATTGAAAAAATAATAATAGCAAATCTATTAGAAATCTCCCTCCCAAAAAACACATCTTTTTTATTCACTCATTTAATCAAGTTTTAGGATTTACTTTCTCTGTATCATTTCTTTTTTTCTCTGATTTTCTCTCTGGTCTTTTCCTGTTTTGTTTTTTTCTTAATTCATAGATGTCTAAAGAACAACTGTATTTACAAGTCACTTAAAATGAAAAGAAACAAAACCCACTCTTCGTTCTTTGGTTAATTAGCATTTCTCTTTTGATTAATTCCCCTCATTACTGCACTGGCTGGTCAGCAGACGGACAGGGTGGGCCTCCATGGAGATGGTGTCATCTGTAATCACTCTCATTTCCCCACACCTCAGCTGTTTTGAGTGGGCTAGCGTTAGGCCGAAGGAAATCTGCATGCTCCTGACAGGTTAAAATTTTACTTCTAAATGTTCTGACTTAGGCTTCTACCAGCATTAACCCTAGTCCTACTGTAGAGTTTTGTGAGTTGGATTTGCTCTGGTCATTTAATCTCAACGTCTGCATTTAGGAGACAAGGAAGGTGGGGGGTGGAGAAGAGGAGAGGCATTTCAGGCTCTTTTTTTTTTCATCAAATATATACACATTCACACTGCTTTTCCAAAGTATGTAAAACCTCTTCATAATATCCTCAGCTTATTACTAGATCTCATTTTTAACTATTTTGATGTGCAAGTAAATGTGGGTATGTGTTTGAGATGTAAAACTTTAAGCTTATAATTTTTCTAGCTTCCAGTCTGTGTTTCTGGACATTCTTTATTGTTTTAAATGCCTTCTAAAAGCTTCTCTCCTTATTCAGTTATGAATTTTAAACTAGCAACTTTTTATGTTTGCAGCTTATGTACATACATACGATTTTATCAGGATATGAGTTTAGAGCAAAGAAATGTTCACATTTTTGTATATTCCCATATACAAAAATGAGTTTAGCTCGTTTAATCTTTTAAATCAGCAGGCTAAGTTTTCTTTACAGTCATTCATATTTAACATGTCATGAATATTAAATTGCATTTGTATTTGTTATTTAGGTGACTATTATATGGTTAAAAAGATTCTGGAGGAAAGCAGTTCAGGTGACTTGAACATAAATTGCGTAGATGTGCTTGGGAGAAATGCTGTTACGATAACTATTGAAAATGAGAATTTGGATATACTGCAGCTTCTTTTGGACTACGGTTGTCAGGTACAGCAAGGCTAGATAATTTTATCCATATCTTCTAGGTGCTGTTAGATACACCATGTTTTCTCCCTTTCTGGTTTCCTCTCTCCCTGCCTCCCTCCCCATCTCTTTTTTTCTTTCCTTCTTTCCTCTGTCTTTCTCCTTTCACTTTTAAATTGGTTTTGAGCCACAAAAAGTTCTAAAAACAAATCAGAAGCCTATTTTTCAAAGTATAATATTTTTACTTGATTTTTTTTTTTTCTCCCAAGTTTCACTCTCC